GGTTTGTGGCAGGCTGTGGCTCCTGCTTGGCTGGCTCCAATCACAGCCTGGGGATGATCTCAGGGTCCCGAGTGGGTTCTCACATGCTCTGCCTGGACACTCTCCGCAGCCCTCCGCAGTGGGTGGTCTTGGTCTAATCAGACGGACTCAGGGATGGTGGAGGGACAGGGTCTGGCGACAGGGCTTTCGCTCGTTCTACTGCTTCCCAGAATGTAGTATGTGCTCAAGACGTGCTCAAGGAAATATTAGTAGCCAACATTCGGGAGCACTGATCTTGTGCCAGCAGCTGTGACCTGTCTCGTCTAGTCTTCCATCTTCCCATGTGACCATGACAAGCACTAATGTGACCTGGAGAGGCTCAGAGAGGGTAAGTGACTTACCCAGGGCCCCACAGTGAATACGAGAATAAATGAACAAAACAGACCCCGTAGCTATACAGGTGTTCCCCTCACTGCCCCCAGTCCAGGCTCTCTCTGCTCACAGCCCCTTCCTCTGCCCTGAGGATGCCCGTCAGACACATTAGGAGAGGGGAAATAAAGAGCCTCTATGGCATGGGGACTGAGGGGGTCGTGGACATGATGACTTGATGCAGGGACCTGGGTGGGCCATAAAACCCTGATGGCTGAGGGCTTCCTGGAGGAAGCAGGATTTCCAGCCAGGGTCCCACTGATATTTTCAGCCTGTGACTCCCTGGGGCATTTTTCACCTTATTGCGCATCTCCCTGCCAGCCTCTGACGAAGGAGCTGCCAGACTTGTTCTAAACAACCGCAGCCTACTCCCAGCCCAAGCTGGGGAGGGGTGTAGATCTATGAATCAGGAGGCAGCTTCTGCTAGGTCTCCCCCAGGGCCGCTCCACTGCTGGGCTGGGGCTCCTCGGAGGACTGGCAGACAGCAGAAGCAGGGGTGAGGCTGGACCTAGGAGCAGAGTCAGCACGTCCGGAGGCAGAATGTCAGGCGAAGAGGGCAAAGGAGTGGCGAAGGATCCGGGGTCCGAGCCCACCCTGGGGTATGTGGGGCCGCGGGGTTAGGGGCCAGCAGCACGGGGCGGGGGTGAAATGTGGGGCCACAGGGCCGGGGCTGGGGGTCCGGAGCCGGCTCAGCGCAGGCAGGTGATGCTGCCCTGCTCTGGCTGTGCCTCCTGACTGGATCTCACTCTTCCCCCGGGACAGGCAGGCTCCCCGGAGCACCGTCGGAGGAACCCTCCCTCCTGGCCTGTGTGCTCTGGCCCCGGGACGATGGGACAGATCCCAGCTCCCAGGCCCGGGGAGGAGGCAGCAGGTGGACCGACTGGGATGGGGGTGGTGGGGAGCCAGGAGAGGAAAAGGGGAAGCTTCTCGGGAGGCGAGGCCAAAGCTGTCTTTGATATATGGTTGTAAAAGCGACACTTACAGATGTTTCTTTCTGCTTCTGGAAGTATTGCAAGCTTACTATGGAATGATGCAGACAGATGCTAGGAAGTCAATGAAAACAGGGTCCACCTCGGGGCAGGGTCTCATCTCAGTGCTGCTGGGGTGAGGGGCCGGGAGACACACAGATGGGGACGGAAGCCACCATACAGCAGCCATGAGGAGGGTAAATCAGGTCACCGCTCAGAGCCCCGGTTTCCTCTTCCTTCCAATGGGGCAATAATAAAACCCTCAAGGCTCAACAGAGATGACTCATGCCAAGCACTCATCTCCAGGCACCAGCTATGTCTTATTTCTCAAAACCTGGGCACATGCCCAGTCCCTCTGTCCAGAACACATGCCCCCCGAGAGGCTCTGCCCCCGCCCCTTCCCCGGGACGGCTGGATCCCGCTGGGGGGGGCGTCTCTGGCTGGCCCCTCAGAGCCCGTGCCACACCCGTTCATGTTTGCAAATTGTTTTCAGTGTCCTTGTTCTTTCGTGTTTCTTTTTTTTTTAATATGTTTATTTATTTTTAGGAAAGAGAGAGAGCAGGGGAGGGTCAGAGAGAGAGGGAGACACAGACTCTGAAATAGGCTCCAGGCTCTGAGCTGGCAGTCAGCACAGAGCCCGACGCGGGGCTCGAACCCACAAACCACGAGATCATGACCTAAGTGAAAGTTGGACGCTTAACCGACTAAGCCACCCAGGCGCCCCCCCCCCTTTTTTTTTTTAACGTTTATTTTTGAGACAGAGAAAGACAGAGCACTAGCAGGGAAGGGGCAGAGAGGGAAGGGGAGACGCAGAATCCGAAGCAGGCTCCAGGCTCCGAGCTGTTAGCACAGAGCCCGACGTGGGCTTTGAACTTACAAACCGTGAGATCAAGACCTGAGCCCAAGTTGGACGCTCCACCGACTGAGCCCCCCGGGCGCCCTGTTCTTCCATGTTTAGACTGTGAGGTCCAGAAGGGCTGACCAAGTCCGCTGAGGTCACCTGCGGGGCCTGGGCCGGGCAAAGCCTGCCTGAGAAGCAGAGGGGAGTTTCTTGTCAGCAAGGCCTGGGGCCGTGTCCCCTACAGCGGGGGAGGCAGGGCAAGGAGGCACCCTGGGTGGGAAGCAAGAGCCAGCTGGCAGCTCCAGCCCCCACCCAGCTATCTGTTTCCTCACTTACTGGGCAACAGTGGGGATGGGGCTGGAGGTCTGGCCACGGACAGGTCGAGCCTGAGATTGTCCCCAAGCACTCCAGGGGTGCACAATGGGGACACAGACCATGACAGCTGAGAAAAGCAGAGAACACTTGCTCTGCCTGCCTCACCTGGAAGAGGTATGATTGGCTGGTGCCAGGATCTTGGGATGGACGTCAGGACACCTGGATGCCATAACCCCTCCCAGACTCCTCCACTCTGGGCCTTGAGTCAGCGCTGAGGCTTTTGACCCTAGAGAGGTACTAGGGAGCCATGGACAAAGTTAGAGCAGGGCTGGTGGGACCAGGAGCTGTCTGAACGCCAGGCAAGGAGAGCTGGGCGAGGGAGGGCGATGCTGGCATTCCAGGCAGAGCTCTGGGGTGGCCCCGAAGGGGCTCCAGGCCAACTCTGGGGTTGAGGGTGGGCAGTGCTGTGGTCCACTCAGGCCTCACCCCTTCAGGAAGTGCTCAGAAGGAAATAGGCCTCTGTGGTCTGGGGCTGCGGTCTAGGTGGGACACAGTCCCCCCACCACCGGGGCTAGCTGTGGGAGGGTGTGACCTGGGCCCCCTTACAGCCCATGACAGGGACAAGTCTTTTACTGAGCAGCTACCGTGGGCTGTATCCGCTGGGTACAGAGCCCCTGCGGCCACGGAAGGGAGTGGACGGTGCCACAAGTGATGGCCTCACCGCCACGGGGAGGGGGGCGTCTGCAGGCCCTGCCTGGGAACATGTGCAGCGCAGCATCTCCCCGAATTTCTCCGCCGGGACCACCCACTGAGCTGGGCACTAGTTGCTTTCCTTGTGTTATGGCTTCCGAGAATAGTAACCACGGCCCCAGGCCGGTGCTGTGTGCGCCTCAGAGGAGTGCTATTCCCACTTCCCAGATGAGGAGACTGAGGCTCAGAGAGAAGGACTGCCCAGCCTGAGCCCCTGGGAGTGGCGGAGGCACGGCGGGGCCTGCTGGCCTGCAGGAGCCCAGGCGAGAGGAGATGCTGAGCCCCGTCTCGTCCACGGCCAACGCTCTGAGGTCCTGGGCTCCAGCCTGCGAGATACTGCTGAGGGCAGAGGACAGCCCAAGACCACACGGACAGACAGAGACACACACAGACATACACACAGACACACAGAGAGATAGAGACACACACATGGACAGACAGAGACACAGAAAGACACGGAGATGCACATAATTCGTACGATCTTGTAGCCTCTGGGTTGGGGTGCCCAGAACCCCCTTTTGCTCTGTGTCTAGGGAATCCACCCCCTCTGCTGGGCCCCTTCCTCCTGGCCCCTGCAACCCCCACTACCGTCAGCCCTGCGGGGGCTCCCTTGGGCCAGCTGGCTACAGCCCAGAGGGATTCGACGCCCCAGGCTGTCAGCTCCACCAACCAGAAGGCTCTTCTGCTCCTCGCTCTGAGAGCCTCCTTCCAAGACCACCTCCCCAGAGCAGACACGGAGCCCTCCTTATGCCACGGGCACCTGTGGCTCACCTGGCCTCGCTTTCCCCACGGACCAGTGCAGAAGTTCTGTTAAGAACCCTCAGAGACCCTGGCCTGGGCCCAGAGGGGGCCCTCTGTGTCATCTGTTGAGTCCCTGCTTCTCACTGTTGCTTGCGGCCTGGTGCCGTGGCTGGAGGGGAGCCAGGCACACGCGTGGGGGGCGGATGCACACGTCGGATGCGCGCTGGGGCAGCCCTGGCGCCCTGGGGTCACACGCGAGTCCCTGCAGGAGTATCGTGAGCCCTGATGGGTGGCGGCCGGGGGCTGGGAGGGGAGGGGGAGAGACCGCCCGTGGGGGTGGGGAGCCCCGGCCCACGCCGCCCCCTCCCTGCAGGATGGACCCTTTCGCGGACACGCTGCAGCGGCTGCGGGAGGCCTTCAGCGCGGGGCGGACGCGGCCGGCCGAGTTCCGGGCGGCGCAGCTCCAGGGCCTGGGCCGCTTCCTGCGGGACCACAAGCAGCTTCTGCAGGAGGCGCTGGCGCAAGACCTGCACAAGGTGGGGGGCAGGGGGCAGGGTTGGGGCAGGGGGGGTCCCCACCTCACCCCTGTATTGTTCCGCAGACCCTTCCCGGGCACGCAGTATGGCATAGGCACCCTACAACATTAATGCACACAAACCTGTGAGGCATGGTCCCCATGTCACTGATGGGGACACTGGGGTGCACAGGGGTTAAGACACGGCCGAGAAGTGGCAGAGGGGCAGCTGGAGCCCAGGCCACCTGTCCCGGGGGCCCAGGCTCCTCACCCGTCACGGGGCAGCTCCTCGAGGACTATCTCCACATCCCGGGGTGAGGACTCTTGGGGACCCCACGCACTAGATCCCCTCCCCGCCCTGCCCCAGCCTGACCTCTGAATCCTATCTCCACTGCAGTCAGCCTTCGATGCAGACATATCCGAGCTCATATTGTGTGAGAACGAGATCGACCTGGCGCTCAAGAACCTGACCACCTGGATGAAGGACGAGCCCGTGGCCAAGAACTTGGTGAGCCAGCTGACCCCACCGGGGGAAGGGGTGCCCAGCGGCAGCTCCGCACAGGCCTCTTCACCAGCCCCGACCCACGGCAAGCCGCCGATGCTCTCGGGACCTCTGTCTCCTCCTGGGGACGTCACTGCACAGGAGCTTGAGGACACTGGGGGTGGTCTTGGGGTGTTCCTGGCAGTGCCAATGCCTCACCCTGCCTCCTGCACGGCAGTTCACACAGCTGGGCTCCGCCTTCATCCGGAAAGAACCCTTTGGCCTGGTGCTCATCATCGCCCCCTGGAACTACCCCGTGAACCTGACCCTGGTGCCGCTGGTGGGCGCCCTCGCTGCAGGTGAGAGTGGCTTCCACCTTCCTGCTTTCCACGGTCCCCGCCCTCGGGCCTCACGGTGCCCACAGAGCCAGTGAGCAGGGAGCTGGCAGTAAGTGGCCAAGAAAACCTGCTTCCCACCTGCCCCCCTCCCCCGCCGTGGGCTGTAGGGCCTTGGGCCTGTCAGTCACCTCTCTGAGCCAGATTCCTCACCTGAAAGGAGAGTGAGACGAGGCGGGAGGGGTTGCCCCCTCCCAGCGCTCCCCCTGCCCTGCCCTGGCCTGCAGGGAACTGCGTGGTGTTGAAGCCATCGGAGTTCAGCAGAAGCACCGAGAAGGTCCTGGCCGACGTGCTGCCCCGATACCTTGACCAGGTGAGCAGGGCCGGGCAGGCCCCCGCGGTGTGTGGTCAGACTGGGTCCCCGCCCCCGCAGCCTCTTTCCCTCTGGGTGAAACAGGGGTGGGGATCACAGAGTCCCCTGGAAACCCCCGCCTGTCATCGGGTCAGCCCTGCGTGCCCCGCCCCGGCGTCCCTCCCCCAGACCTCAGCGGGGCTCTCACCGCACACCTGCGGGGCCGGGGCTGGCAGGTGCCCCGCGCCCCCCCGGGCGGCTCCCCGCCCCCACCTCACTCCGGTCTGGAGCCCCAGCAGCTGGGCATGAGGCCAGGCAGGGGGGGCGGCCCCACACAGGCGGGTCCCCCTCGGGGTTCCCCAGGCCGGGGTCCCAGGGGGCTCCCTCTGCCGTCCCGCCCCACAGAGCTGCTTTGCCGTGGTGCTGGGCGGGCCTCAGGAGACGGGGCAGCTGCTGCAGCACAAGTTCGACTACATCTTCTTCACGGGTGAGGCTGACCCCTCAGGCCCCTCGGGAGGGCTGGGTCCCACCCCCTGGCATGGGCCCCTTGACCGGTCACAATCCCACGGATGACGGCGTCTGGCCCTGCTGAGCTCCCACGGTGCCAGGGGCCCCTGGACCGTCTGTACCACCCACTGGCTCCAGGACCCTGTGTGTGACCCCACCGGCCCAGGGTGCTTGTGGAGGGTTGGGCAGATGAGGGATTGGAGGCCGGGTGACAAAGAGAGGAGGCACCCGGGCTGGGTCACCACCCCCCTCCCTCGGGGCCAGGACGGGGGAGGCCGGGTTTTCCCTCCAGGCCCACAGGTTGTTCTCAGAGGCCACCTGCTGTCCCCCTGTCGTGTGCCACGAGGCCCAGATGCCACCGGGCTTCGAGTGGCCAGGAAGGAGTCTCTATCAGGGTGATAGAGCCCAGGAGGCCAGTGGCCATCTTACCCGGCCAAGGTTCTGGAAGCGAGAGAGTCCTGCTCACTGGCCTCCTGCCTTGCACACTGTGTCCACCCCAGAGCAGGGAGAGCGTGGTCTCTGCTTCGCTGCCCCCCAGACCCGCCGCAAGCCCGGGACCACCTTGCCTATCAGGGGGCGTGACCACAGAAGCAGGGGGCGGGGTCCTCAGCTGGTCCCCGAAGGTTCCCAGTGGGCGGAGGAGCAGCAGGCAGCTGGGAGGAGGCAGTCACCTTCTAGAATCCCGGCCGGCGGCTCGGTGGGCTCGGGGCCTCGGGCCCCCGTGACTGTGGCCAGGAACCCGGACAGCGTGCACTGGGGCCTGGCACACTGACCCGAACAGACTCTGCCACAGCCTCGTGGCTTCACCAGGCCTTTTGTATCTGACGGCGGTCACAGGTCTGTGTCCAGGACATGCGAACTCATGGGAGCCTTTGTCCCAGCACGTGGCCTGGGGACGTGTTCACTCACTTGCTCACTGCATTCTGAGAGCGTGCGCAGTGTCCAGACTCTGTGGTGTCATAACGAGGGGACAGGGGACAGAGGGAGGGCCTCACAGACAAGAGACGGTTTTGAAAGACAGGAGGACCTGAGGGAGGAATGGATGGGCCTGGAGGGGGGAGGGGAGGTAGGTGGGCCTGGAGGGGTAGGGGTGGGGGCAGGGACACCTTGAGGACCAGGGGACTTAAGGTCGGCGGGAGGGGGGGAGGGGTCTGTGAGCCCCTGGAGATCAAGCACGTGGCCACTTCAGCCGGGTCAGGAGCGGAGGGAAGGGTGGGTGGTGAGGGGGGCAAGACAGGCTGGTCAGAGAGAGGCTCAGATGGCGGCCCCTGGAGCTGGACTCTGGTGTCGGGCCAGAGCGGTCACTGTCAGTGCTCGAGGGGCCTGGGGACGGGGGGAGGGGTGCAGGGTCTGGCTGGTCCGGTGGAGGACGCGATCGGGGCCCTGGTGCATTTCCCCAGGGAGCGGACCCCCCTCGAGGGCTCCCGATTCCCAGGCTGAGGCCATCCCGTCTGGCCGAGGTGACCGAGGGCCACTCTGGTTTCTTTCCGCGACCAGGGAGCCCTCGAGTGGGCAGGATCGTCATGTCCGCCGCCGCCAAGCACCTGACGCCCGTCACGCTGGAGCTGGGGGGCAAGAACCCCTGCTACGTGGACGACGACTGTGATGCCCAGACCGTGGCCAACCGCGTGGCCTGGTTCCGCTACTTCAACACCGGCCAGACCTGCGTGGCCCCCGACTACGTGCTGTGCAGCCCTGACACGCAGGCGCGGCTGCTGCCCGCCCTGCAGAGCGCCATCACCCGCTTCTACGGCGACGACCCGCGGGGCTCCCCGAACCTGGGCCGCATCATCAGCCAGAAGCACTTCCGGCGGCTCCAAGGCCTGCTGGGCTGCGGCCGCGTGGCCATTGGCGGCCAGAGCGATGAGGGCGAGCGCTACATCGGTGAGCCGCCCTCCCGCCACGACCCCCGGGGAAGGCCTGTCCATGATGCGGTCCCGCCTGGGCCGCGAGTCTGGGCCGCGAGGCTCCCACGGCTGCACCGGCCGAGCCCAGCCTGGGCCCCGGCTCCGGGAAGACCGTTCGGAGATGCTGGCGCTCCACCTCGGCCCCGGCCGGCCTCCCGGTCCTTCCCGGGGGCTGTGGGGACACCGTCTTCCCCAGAAGGTCCCTGAGCCCTGCCCGAGGGCCCCCTCCCCAGGGCTGAGCCGCCCCCTGCGCCCGCAGCCCCCACGGTGCTGGTGGACGTGGCGGAGACGGAGCCGGTGATGCAGGAGGAGATCTTCGGACCCATCCTGCCCATCGTGAACGTGAGGAGCCTGGACGAGGCCATCGACTTCATCAACCGTCGGGAGAAGCCCCTGGCCCTGTACGCCTTCTCCAACAGCAAACAGGTGGGGGCTCGGGTGGCGCTGGGACAAGACGGGGGCTTTAAAAAGGTGCAGACTGGTGACCTCCCCCGTCACAGGCCACCCTGGGAGGGTTAGGGCAGCACCACTTGGCCAATGGTCCCCTGCCCAAGGCTCCTGGCAGAGAGGGCTTGGGAGGGCTGAAAACTTGCCAGACGCGTGGCTGGCCGGCTGGCCGCCCTGGGTGGGGCAGCCACCACCTAGACAATGAAGTGCCTTTTTCTCTCTGGCCTGGCCAGAGCGCCCTTCTCCTAAATTGCACAGAGGCTCTGGGGGGCGAACAGAGGCCCGAAGGGGGGTGGGCCCCAACAGGCAGAGGGACACGGCTGCTGCCAGTGCATGGTTGGTGCTTACTGTCACTTCTCACAGTCCCGGGCCCCCTCTGTGTGGCAGGGGCTCAGAGGGGACGCGTCTCAGTAGAAGATGGGAACAAAGGAGGCTCCTCTGCTCCCTGTGGAACGGTCTGGGGCCCAAGCCTTCTTCCCTGACCACAAGCCCACCACCGGCCACCACCCCCTGCTCCCCCAGGTAGTGAACCAGATACTGGAACAGACCAGCAGCGGCAGTTTCGGAGGCAACGAGGGCTTCATCTACTTGACTCTGACGTCCCTGCCGCTGGGGGGAGTCGGTGAGGCCTGCCCCCCTCTACCCTCCAGCCCTCACTCCCAGGGATGCCTGGGTTGGTACTCCCAACCCCGGGTGGCCTGGTTTCGCCCTCACTCTCTTCATCTTGGCTCTGGGTCTCTCAAGGCCTCAGTTTCCCTATCTGCACAATGGCTCTTAGAGTGGCTGGGCTTTCCCTGAGGTCCTTGCCAGCGGTGGGCTCCCGCTTGGTCAGGAGACTGGGCCTCAGGCCCTCCCCTCCATGCCCACGCAGGTAACAGCGGGATGGGAAGGTACCACGGCAAGTTCTCCTTCGACACCTTCTCCCACCACCGCGCCTGCCTGCTCTCCCACTCAGGCCTGGAGAAGCTCAATGATATCCGGTACCCGCCCTATACTAACACCAAAGAGCAGCTCATCAGCTGGGCCCTGCGCTCCCAGAGCTGCACCCTTCTGTGAGCACCCTGTGCCCCTCCAGCACCCTGCCTCCACGGCCCCTCTGTGCTGCCGCTGCACAGGTGTTCAGTGAGGTGCTTGAAAGGTGGGGATCCTGCCCGGAGGGCAAAGATCCTTTCCTTGGACCTTTGTCTCAACAGACCTCTGGCTGGGCAGTGCCTGGGGGCCGATGGTCCCGCCGTTTTCAGGGCCAGAGTCCTCATCTGCAGTCTCCTGACTCGGCTCGGATACATCTGGTGATGGGGTTCTTGTGGTTAGAAAGGACTCCCTTGTATCAGACCTATAATTAGACTCCCAAAATACAGAGCCGTTTCTTTTCTTATTTTTTTTTAATAACGAGGGGAGGGGATGGGGATCGGGGGTGGGGAGGCAGCCCAGGGGTGGGGGGCTGCTGGGGAGGGGCCCTAAGGTTGGGTTCAGGCCACAAGTACAGTGCTGTCACCGCGCCCGCCACGGACTCCCCGGCCTGGGCCGCTGCCAAGAGGACTCCCAAAATACAAAGCGATTTCTAACAGGTCCACTCACACCTGGCCCGGGGGGCTGGGTTTGTCTGACCTGAAGTAACCTGGCCTCGAGCCCGGACCTGGCTGATCGCTGGCATCACCCTGAAGAGCATCACTGGCAAGGACTCTGATGCTGTGGGTGGGTGGAATCAACAGGAAAGAGCACAAGGGGTGATTAGGCACATCTTCTCCGGGCACATTCTGGACATCTCTATCAGCCTGCCACAGACTCCCAGAAGGAGATTGTGGTCGGCAGAGCCTAAATCTAGACTCTCCGTCCGACATATGGGGAAACTGAGGTCTAGAGGCAGCACGGGGCTGAACCTGTTTACACAGGAAAGCAAGGCAGAGCTGAATGGTGGTGGGCTTCCAGAACAATATGGAGGCGGTGGATCAGTAAACAGAAGGTACCTAGTGTGTTGTGACCTGCATCTTGCTCTTCCCCAAGTCCTCATCCTGGGAGCTCACTTCCAACACCCCCAACCCCACTCTTCAGGGGGCCCCTCACCCCTCAGAGCCATGGGAAGACTGGGTGTGTGGCCTGAAGCGTCCATCCAGTCCATAAGGACATCTACACGTGCCGTTCAGCTTCTATGGTCCCCTGATGACCACGGCCTGGTCTGCTCAGTGACCGGGGACAGCTTGGCTCAGGCCACGTGCGGTGTCCACACAAACCAAGGCATATTTAGAAGCCTCACCCAGAGGGGGGGCTGAGACAAGCAATTTGCCAATCCCTCCGTGGCCGGGAACTCTGGCGGACGGCCCCAGCTTCTCTTCGCAGTGGCCTTGGGCATCGTTTAGGACACACACGACATGCCATTACCATGTTAACCGAGTCACTGTACTCTAAGGGCAATCCGGCCTCCTTGGCAATATGCCAGCCTGCTGAGGCACTGGGGCGGCCACACTTTCCATGCACCCAACCTACTGTACCTACTCATGGGTAGGTCTCTCGGGCTCGGGCTCCAGCGAGGGCATCAGCTTCCCAACGGCCCGAGCTTGTGCCGCATGAACGGAGATGAAAACCAGGGAGGAGCACCTCGGGCCCTCGCGGTGAACCCAGATGCCTTTCTGCATATGCTGCCCCCACAAAGACTTCTTCACGATCTTCCACCCCTCAGCTTCCCATGCCCAGAGCTGCCAGGTTAATCCCTGTAAAACAGCCCCACTGTCAGTGCAAAGGGTTAAAGGCCGCGGCTCATGAGTAATCCCTGGTCAGACGACCCTGAGCTCTGCCCGCTGGCCGCCAGGGCAAGAGGCCGTACCTGGAGGGTACTGTACACGCAGCTAGGAGCTAGTGCTCCCTGAGGGTAGGCTGGGTTTCTGTCCCCTTACAAGAGCTGGGACCAAAACCCTAGGGGTATTTTCTGCTCCGTGGACTCTGCGGCAGTGGCTGACGCATGCTTTCTCTGCTGATGCTTCAGCAGCGTCCCTGCTTGTTTGCTTGTTAACCTTATGCCAGCAATGCTGTGGGTCCATGTCGCTGATGTGGGCAGAGAGAATGGGGACGGGTCCCCAGCTACCACCCCACGACAGATGGAGGGCGGGGCTGTGCAGGTAGCTTTGGGGGAGCCCTTGAAAGTGTCATCGTCGTCCCTCCCACATGAAGGTGAATTGATCTCAGTTGTCAGAAACCTGCATTGTCCGTCTTTTCCTCGAACCTCCTGGAGATAAAGCACTTTGGTAGGAAGACGTTGTTGCCAAACCATCAGGGTAAAAGAGTGACTGCAAATGACAACAGACTTGACAGTGGTCAGGGTTAGAGATCTGATGACAATTCATTCTAGCGCACAGGACAAGGGAGCCTCTCCGACAGTCCGTATTTCATTTATTATTTTTAAAGTTTTTTTTAAATATAGTAGTTCTTTTTTTAAAATTTTTAATGTTTATTCATTTTTGAGAGACAGAGAGACAGAGCACGAGCAGGGGAGGGGCAGAGAGAGGGGGACACAGAATTTGAAGCAGCTCCAGGTTCTGAGTTGTCAACACAGAGCCTGATGAGGGGCTCGAACTCATCAACTGTGAGATCACGACCTGAGCTGAAGTTGATTGCCTAACCGACTGAGCCACCCAGGCCCCCCTATCTTTTTTAAGTTTATTTATTCCGAGAGAGAGAGAGAGAGCGCGCGCCAGTAGGGGAGGGGCAGAGAGAGAGGGAGAGAGAATCCCAAGCTGTCAGCTCAGAACCTGACATGGGGCTCGAACCCATGAGCTGTGAAATCATGACCTGCGCCAGTCTCTCATCTGACTGAGCCCCCCAGGCACCCCTGCCAGTCTGTATTTTAAAAACCGCTTTCCTCCTTTCTGCTTCGTGTCTCTGTGGGCAATATTTACATTTCCAGACCAGACTTAACACCTTCAAGGGACAAAGAAAGAACGTAGATTTTCTCCTAGGGCTTTTGGGGTAACTGCTATTTAAAAATGTCCCTTATGTGAGGGGTCAGAAAGCACGGGGCATGTTGTCTGTTTCCTCATCAATTGCCACATCATCCTCTTCGTCTTCATCAGTTTCTCGGAGACCCTGCCTCTTAGCATCCCAGGCCGGCTGTCACAGTGCCCGGCTCTTAACCCGCGGCACCTTGCACCCTCCCCGCATTGCAGACGGCACGCTGAGGCCCCCAGTTTCTCACCCTGCTCTCGCTCCCAGCTCGTCTGCCAGCCTGAAGCCAGCAGAACAGTGAACCCCACACCTCTTTCTCTTGGCAATTCTAACTTTCTTTATTTTTTTTAAATTTATTTATTTTGAGAGAGAGTGAGAGCATGAGCAGAGAGAGAGGGAGAATCCCAAGCAGACTCCACGCTCAGCGCGGAGGCCAATGCGGGGCTCGATCCGACGTTGCTGGGATCATGACCTGAGCCGAAATCAAGGGTCTGGCGCTTAACCAACAGAGCCACCCAGGCTCTTCCCCGCTCCCCCCACCCCAGCAATTCTAGCTTTCTGACCGCAGCTGCAGCCCAGGGACCTGCGGAACTGCCCGTGGCCGAGGTCAGCCCCCTGGGGCCCCGTGGCTTCCCTCCTCTTCCGCAGGGCACCACATGCAGTTCCGCCGAGGAGCACGGGCACCCGGCTGGCATCTCCGGGTGTCCCCGTATTCACGCCGTGGTCCACAGGCATCTGATACAGGCTGCTGCCCATCACGGAGGTTGATGGCCAACTTGGGATTCCCCCCACCCCCCGCCCCTGGAGATGCCTCCTTCAGGCCCATTTCTTTGGTCTCCTGCCTGGCTCACCATGGGTTGGTCTGAACCCCCTTCCAGGAGCTTCCCAGGTGTCCCCTGAAACTGCACCCCATCTGCGGAGGGCAGGGCCCGGTCAAAGGAAGAGGCAGGCTATTCTAGGTTGGTAGGTGGCAGTTTTAGTAAGTGAAGGGAACTTACATACGAGTGGGTCCCCTCATTGCCCGCCGATCCTAAAAGGTTACACGGAAAGAGACCTTAACTGGGTACAGTCACTCAGACCGTGGACGCCTTAACGCCACGCCGTTATCTCACGGCTACATCCTTGGGAGCAGCCTCTGGGAGCCGGAAAGGCAAGCGCAACCCACAGCCAAGGGCAGGGGGGAGGCTCAGGAGCCTCCGAGCGCCCCCGTCCGGCTCATGGCTCAATTGGCAGCCCTGCTTTTTCCGCAACCTTCCCGATAATGGATGGATGAGCCAGCGGGTGGCTAGAGGGGCAAGTGAGTGTCGGTGGGTGAACTGATGGGTGGGTAGGAGGCCCAGGGAGACGCTGAGTGTCCAGTGGGGCCTGGGTCTGAGAGATGCCGTCTCCCCCCACCCCTGCGCTGGGAAGTTGTGTCCTCGGACTGAAAAGAGAGCCAGACGGGTTGAGAAGCCTCGGGGTGCGGGGGTCTCGGAACCACAGTCTGGGCGGTGGGTCCAGTGAGCAGAGAACAAAAGACCCCTCGTTGTAGAGTCTCGGGGAGCCTCACCGCCTTCCCCACGCCGATCCTGCTTCCTTCGCCCTCTTGGCCATTGGTTGCTGTGGCTCACGTGGGGCACGAAGGCTCCGAGGGAAACGTGGCTCTGGGGGACGATGGGGAGAGAGGAGTCCCAGATGGACAGACTCCCGGTGGCCTCTAACTGGGGAGCAGTGTCACACGGCAGCAGCCCATCGGCCAGCGCCCGCTTCCCACCCTCCCACCTCTCCCCTGCCCTCCCACCCGTCCCCTGGGGCGGCTGGCCAAGAGAGGCCACGAGGTGCGGCAGGCACCCCCCATCCACCCCACCCTTCCCGGTGCGTGCACGTCCCCTCCTCGGTCCCCGCTGACCAGGCACGGCCCTAAAGCCAGTGTCATCAAGAGACAGAACTGAGACTTGGTCCCGCATTTTAGGACCCAGTAGCCCAGAAGGCCTCAGGGAGCCTTGAACTCCTCCAGGCCTTGGCTCAGCTCTTCTCTCTTCCCAGGACACCCTCCCTCTACCTCTAACCCACCCCCACCCGGAGAGCCGGTCTGCTGTCGCTCTGCTGTCACATCGGTGCCTTTGGGCACGTCCCTCTACCTCCCCTGTGAGGTTTGTGACAGAAGCCTCTCCTTGCCCAGCTGCCCCCTGGCCGTAGGAGTGCCCGCCACGCAGATCTGCCTTCCCCCCCCACCCCCCGTCTGGTTCATGTTCATTCAATGACCGCCCGTGGGGCCGCGTGATCGGGGCCCCTTGGAGATCAGTATACAGACCTTAACAGCACCGGCCAAGGCCCGCATCGGGGGAGTGGGTTAGAGATAAGCAGTCTTTCCCCTCCTGACCATAGGCGGCAGAGCCACGAGATCTATTTAAAACTTAGCCGTCGGGACGCCTGGGTGGCTCAGTCAGTGTAGACTTCAGCTCAGGTCATGATCTCGAGGTTCACAGGCTGGAGCCCCGAGGTGCAGAGCCTGCTTGGGATTCTCTCTCTCTCTCTCTCTCTGCCCCTCCCCTGCTTATGCTTTCTCTCTCTCTCTCTCTCTCAAAATAAATAAACATAAAAAAAAAAAAGGTTAGCTGTCAGGTGCACACAAGCCCTGTGACAGCACTACAGTCCTTCTGGGCGTCCCCTCGCTGTATAAGATCTGCGGATGAAGGTCCCGGCCTCACGGAGAATAGCCACACAGATGCACGTCGGCTCCACCCCCAGTGAGTCACCCTGAGCAAAGCTCTGTAAACTGCGTGGAGTCGCCTGCTTCGTGTCGGTCTCGCAGCGCCTTCTCAGCCTGGGGATACTTCACTGCCCCGCCTCCACCTTCCAGCACCGGGGTGTGGGAGCCCCAGACTCAGGGCCCTGGAGCCCAGTGCAGCATAGGTGACTGGCCTGGACAGCTCACTGGCTGGCTCTGCCTCCCTCCTCAGGGACCTCTGGACTGTCCTCCGCTTTTCCCTGACAGTGCGACTTGGGCCGGGTGTGGGGGGGGGCTTCCCCGTCATCCTTTCTCCCTTGACCCTTGAGGACAGCAGGGGAAGGGTGGGCTCAGTGGGACACCCCCGGGTTCCAACTCCAGCTCTGCGTCTAGTGCCCTGCGTTCCCTCAGGCATTCTGTCTGGGCCTCAGTTTCCACATCTGTAAAATGGGTCTGAGGATCATTTCCAAAAACAGAGCAAACTGAGTCCTCTGAATCACACCTATCCCTGAAAGTGATTCAACATACTGGACAAAACATTTAGAAATTTTGTTTAAAGCGTCAAGAAGCTGGGAAAGTGAGACCCCACAGATCATAGCCCTTCAGGGTAGTGGTGCCCTGGGAGTGACGCTGGCTCTCTGGGGTTACAAGCGCAGAAGCATGTTGATGAGGGGATAGAGGCAGGGGGGTGTTCTCCATCCAGGCATCTGCTGGAGCACAGACCTCAGTAAGTAACTTACAACGGCCGGGGCCGGGGCCGGCCCATGGCTCAGCCAGTGGTGTGAGGGTCAGGTTCCAGGCGCACCTGCCCTTGGCTGGATGGCTGTGCCGGAAACAGCCTGGACCCGGCAGCCCTCTGGGGGGATGGGGGACTTGTGTTCATCTCAGGCCTCAGAGACTCCTCGCAGGTAATCTTCCAGGTCTGCGTGCAGCCCCCCGACCTGGCCGTGGGTGGGAGGGCTGGCCCCACTCCCAGAGGAGGGACAGAGGGCACGGACAGGAGCCTGGCCAGGGACCTTGACTCTATGTGGCGGCAGGAAGTAAGAGCGTGCGGTGGGGCGGGTGGGGAGACCTCAGCACTCCTGACCTCTGGGCGGACCTGCCCGGGGGGGTCTCTGGGCCCATAAATACCCGCTGGCCTGGCAGGTGCACATGAGCCCTGGAGGCCCGGGAAACCCAGACCCGCTTCTGCAGGTAATCACCCCTCCCCAAGGCCCCTCCGCCTGCCCAGAGGGGCAGGTGGGAGGGAGCAGGAGCTGCCTGGAACCCAGACCCTCCCAGGTAATCAGGTGACACCCCGCCTGCTTCACCCTCCCATCTATAGAATGGGAGCGTAACCCTCTTGCTAGAGGGAGCCTGCCTTGCTGAATCCATACGCCCCATGGGGACGGGTCTCCAGCATAGGCACCAGCTGGGAGAAGCCCTGAGCTGTCCCACCAGAGCCATAAATGGGGTGGGGCTAAGCTGCGTCCCCCCACACCTCTCTGCCCAGCTCGGGTCCCTCAGGCCTCAGGGGACTCACCGCTGCCACCCCAGCTCTGACCCTTGGGCCCCGCGTCCGTGCCAGGTTCACCTGAGCGGGTCCACCACCAGGTTCTCCGCCCCACCCCGGGATGTGCTTGCTGCCTGGGCCCCGAAGGCCCCTGCCCTGCGCGGCAGTGACGGGGGTGGGGGTACCCAGTGCAATGACATGTCCGGTGTCACCTGGCCCAGCATGGCTGCGGGCCCCAGCCTGTGCTGGCCTACCCAGCGCCCACAGCTGCCTGCCGCCGCTGCATGGCCGTCACCTCAACCGCACCTTCACCGGCAACTTCCTCGCGGGAGTGTCCTCGCCGCTGTGGGTCCCTGCCCCCCAGGCTGGCCCAGCCCCTCAGCCTCACAGGCAGGCCGGGCCCTCAGGGCCACAGTGATCTTCACGGCACCCGCAGGGGCCGGGAGAGGCTCCTCGGCAGCCTGGAGAAGCGTCCCCTGGCCACAGAAGGCAGAGGGAGGTGACATGGAGCAGGCACCCCCCAAACCACCTGCTTGGAGGTGCAAATATGGAACCTGTCTTTATTTTCCACTTATGTCCCCGAGCATCCTATGCATTCCTTCTGCAGCCCTTCCCTTCCTGAATGTTGCAGGAATCTGGCTGCGCAGCTTCTGGCTTCTGCAGGAGGAGTTGGGGAAGACTGCGTGCCCCCCACCCCCAGCTACTGCTCTGCCGCTGCCACATGGGGTCGCTGTCGACCTAGGTGTGTGCCCTCCGTGGCCTCCGTGGCCTGCAGGGTCCAGGCCACAGGACTCCCCACACTGGGTGCCCAGCCCTGGCCTCCTTAGTAACTGTTCCCCAAGCGTCCCGAATGGCCTCAGAACGGGCCACATGCTCTGTTGGCACCAGCCCTCCTGCTGCCACGCCAAAGATCTGCCCCTGAGCCCGGCGGGCAGCCACAGCCCCTCCTTCAGCGGTGCGTCCGTGCGGGACAGCATGGAGTGACCCAGCACACAGACCTGGCATGCGCTGGGGGCACAGCAGAGCCTGGGCACAGAAAACACAGAAATACTAGAAGGAGTTTGATATTTCAAAAACTGTTTAAAGAACCAAATTAACGGGGCACCCGGCTGGCTCAGTCAGCTGAGCGTCCGACTCTGGATTTTGGCTCAGGTGGTGAGCTCACATCTCACAGTTCAGGAGTTCGAGCCCTGCATCAGGCTGTGCGCTGAGCACAAGGAGCCTACTTGGGATCCTGTGTCTCCCTGTCTCCCTGCCCCTCCCCTGCCCTATAAATAAATAAATAAATAAATAAATAAATAAATAAATAAATAAAGTTTTTTTAAAGAACCAAAGTAACAATTGTAAAAAAAAAAGTCAGCAGTGGATTGGGTTTGTTTTGGGTGTTTTTGCTCTTATTATGGCTTCGTGTTTTATTTTGAGGTGTTCTCGTACTTGTAGCAACGCTGTGTGGGAGGGGCACCATCTTTTCAGTGTTTAGGCTCACATGCTCCAAACCTGTCCCCACCCCGGCCCCTAACCCAGGCCAGACCTGCACAGCCCCAACACTCGCATCTGAACAATGGGTCCTGAGCCACAGTCTTGCGCCCCGGGTGCCCTTTGCCTGTATGCCATGTTTCTGGCCATACTCCCACACCTCCATACCTCAGTTTCTATAAAATGGAAGATGTCCAGGGGTAATGGTTCATGTCCCCTCTCCTTCATGGCCCCTCTCTGTGGCCTCAGGATCTGGGGCAGGTCTGGGCCAGGGTGGTCTTGGACATGCTGTGTGTCCCGGGGCCCGTGATGGCTGTCTCTGTGCAGCCTATCAGTGCCCAGGGGGAAGATCCCACCTGGAGTCAACAGAGGGCCTTCCAGAAGAGGCCACGACCCAGAGGGGGCCTCGGTTTGAGAGAGCAGAAGCCCATGTGTGTCTACCCAGGCGCTGTGTGTGTGTGTGTGTATGTGACTGAGCACACGTTTCCAAGAGCTTCGGTATTTGGGCGTCCTTCTTCTGGGGAGATCTATACGTGGCTGGGCACGCAGCCCAGATGTGCATGTCCAGTGTGTGATGAGCCCAGTGCCCACGGGGACTCGGGGGAGTCGGGGCTGGGGAAGGGGTGCAGCTCGACAAGGCTGTCCCCACCCGGGACAGTCGCCCAGGTGCTGGGACGCAGGGAAGAGGCGCCTCTGCTTGGGGCAGAGGGAGTCCTACCAGGGGGCTGGAAGTCCTCAGCACCCCAAGAGGGAGTGGGCACAGGGTCTGCTGCGGGGTCCCCTCCACCCTGATCCAGGCACCCTCTGCGGGGCGTCCGTACAGACCAGACTGGACGCAGCCCCCGGCTTCCGCACCCACGCGAGCCTGACAGGCTGCGGTTCCTGCCTGACAGCGGGGCTGGGGGGGCCAGAGCTCCGTCCTTGGGAGGTGTCGCTCCCTGGCCCCCCTGCGCCCCGCCTGGCCCATCCATCTCCCTGCGGCCACAGCTGCCACGCGGCCTCCTGCTATTGAGCAGTGAGATGAGAAGGTGTGAAGGATACGGGGGCACCAGGGACGGGCTGGCAGGCAAGATGGATGAGGGGGCAGGGGGGCCAGCAGGCGCCTCCGGCAGGAAGGGCAGGTGGGCCAGGGAGGGGGCTGTGTGCAAGGGGTGCGTGTGACAGCGCGCACGCATGTGTGTCCACGAGTGGGTGTGCGGCATTGGACCTTGGGTTCCTCTGTGCGCGTGTGGGCTGGCGTGTCAGTGTGCTCACCTACGTGTGTGGAGGGGGTAAAGTCGCGTGCAGGTGCGCGCCCGCACACACACACACACACACACACACACACACCAGGAGCCAACAGAAGCCTGGGCCGGGACCCCCGGGAGTTGAGGCTGAGGGGGAGCATGAAGATTGGTGGGAACCTCCCCAGAGCATCATCTCTCCCCTCCCCCACCCACCCCGCCCTGGATCCCAGGACAGCGTGGCGTGGCCGGCCACACCCCGCTGGGTGGCCCCTGAGAGCCGCTGGGACCCTCACAAGCACGGAGAAGCCCCCCCTCACACACCCTGCCCACGGCAAGCCCCAGAGCTGGCCCCGGGTCTGTGCCGGGCGCCGGCCTACGTCTCCCGGCTCGGCAGGCAGGGATCTGGGGAACAGGGCACCAGAGCAGAAGGCGCCCCTAAGCGGAGGGAGGAGAGGTCTGCCCCTGGGGCACGGGGCTCTGGGAGGAGCCGGTGTCGCTCTGGAGAGAAGCAGCCCCTGCGGCCCTCGGTAACCTCCAAGCCCGCTGTCAGATGTGGGCCTCCGCCTCCCCCACGTCCCCAGTGCACACTCTGGAGGAGGTATGTTGGGGGGTCGTCCAGTGTGCCTCGGGGACACCAGTCAGGTAGGCCCAGTCCCGCCAGAGGTGCCGTCACCTAGTGCCGGCCTGGGGGCTGGCCTGGAACCCTCCCCCCCGGAGTGAGCTATCCTGCGGTCTAGCCCGATGACCGCCCTGGGCGCGGGTGAAACGGCCAAGCAGCACCTCAACTGAGAGCAACCAAGCTTTGTGCCTTCCTGACCGGTGACCCATGCAACCCTGAACGCCGGGCCTGGATAGGCGGGGGCAGCCTGGAGAAGGTGCCTGGTCGGGCCACAGAGAACAGACTGACCTGTGGGCAGAGCAGACGCCCGCCCCACAGGCCTCTGAGCTTACCGCAGTTGGGGAAACCGAGGCACGGGGGCTGTCAGGAATCCACCAGCACTGCACAGCTCACGGCGCCCCAGCCATCGGCCAGACCCAGCTTCCTGCCACCCGGCCGGAACTCTGCTTCTGCCAGCACTTGCTGGTGCTGCCCCCTGGTGTTTCCCAGTTTCCCAGGGCGGCGCCAGGGCAGCAGCAGCCCCAGGTCAGGGGTCAGGGCCCCGGTGAGAGGACACCACCTCTGCCATTAGCCTCCATGCTCCTGCGGCTGCTGCCGCCTCCCCAGCCTCCCCCAGGCCCTTTCGGTGCCCAGCCCTCCAGTCATCGGGCCTGGGCCCCTGCGGACCACCCAGCAGATCCTCAAAAGGGGCCCCCACCCTGCGTCTGGGCCCATTGATCAGCAGTGGCTGGGAGGCCCCTAGCTGGGGGAGGGAGGGAGCGGGGAGGGGGGACCGGGGAGGGGGAGAGGAGGCTTTGCAACGTCAGAGCCTTCCCACCTGCCCTCCTCCCGCACAGCGCCACGCCCGGAGCTGACAAACCCAGCCGCAGCCGTGCAGTCCAGTCTGGGGGTGGTTTGGAGCCGGGGTCCCGCCTGCAGAGACCAGGTGCCGGGCTCCGGCGGGGAAGCAAGACGTGAGCAATCGCTGGGAGGGAAGGACGGTCCTGCAGGACCCAGCTGCCGCCGAATGGGCCAGGACACCAGGAGCGCCTGACCACCCACCCCACGGGCGAGGGCCCCTCGGTGACAGCTACGGCCGGGCCCCGCGGAGCAGGACTTCTCCAGGAGCCACCATCCAGGCTGTCCCCATGGCAGGTACCGTGTAGGCAGCCCAGGGGGCCCCATGACTGGGCTCAGGCTCCAGGGTGACCGGGGCGGGGCAGGGACTGGGTGTGGGGGCCAAAGACACCCCTCTGGACCCAGGTTTTGGGCAAGAGGGTGGGGCAGGGGCAGCCCACGCTCAGGCCTCAGAATCCACCCGCATCCCAGGCAGGGCCGATGGGCTCACAGCCACCCATGTACAAATATAGGGGTGCTCATGGGTGGGGGTACAGAGCCATTTCTGGGAAGGCAAAGCCTTCTCAGGCATGAGTGACCTTGGGGCTGTCCCTTCCTCTCTCCGGGCCTCACCCATTGAGTATAAAGATCAGGGGCTGGACAAGAAGTCTCTGACTTCCCCTCCAGACCTGACTCCGTGCTTGTGGGAAATTGTCAACTCCTGACCGCAAGCGATGCCAGCTTTTAGAGGAACCGGGCAGAAGGCAGGCCCTTCCTGAGTTTCTGAGGGCACTCAGGGGTGGCACTTTGACCAAGATGGGCAGGGGGTGAGCTCACAGAAAACTCGGGAGCCAGGGACCAGCCTGCGAAGGCCCCAGGCCCAGGGAAGCCAGAAGCCTCTCCCGGGGACCCCTGGACCCTGGCAGCTGGCATTGGTTACCCGGATGGTGGACCTGCCCCAGCACAGCAGCTGAACGATGGGCAGTTGCCCAGATGGTGGCCCAGTCCACGTGGTGGTGGGGGGTGGACATCAGCCCTTCTACCCTCATGCCCCTCTGGGGGATGCAGACCTGATGCGGTCCATCCCTCTCGGAGAGATCCACCCCCCGCCCCCCACAGCTTTTCATACATGGCCTTCAGGGCTGCTAAATATGGGGCCACAGGCCCTGAGCCCCCTGCTCCAACGAGGCACCTACTATGCACCAGCTCTGGCCAGACGCTGCCTACCTGCTAGCTCATTACACGTAGGCCCCTCCGGGAATCTCCCTCCACACATCCATTAATCCATCCATCCATCCAACCATCCACCCGTCCTTCCTTCCATCCAACACCAAAATCCACCTCTGCCCAAGGGATCTCAGGTCTACCAGGCTCTTGGACACTTGGGGGGTGGAGCTGTTAGAAACTAATAGTCCATTTTTCAGGATTCTCTTTCTAGTTTTAATGTTTAACTGGTAAAATGTACATAACATAAAAATTACTATTTGGATCATTTAAAAAAATTTTTTTTAATGTTTATTTATTTTTGAGAGAAAGAGAGACAGTATGTGTAGGGGAGGAGTGAGAGAGAGGGAGACCCAGAATCAGAAGCAGGCTCCAGGCTCTAAGCTGTCAGCACAGAGCCTGATGCGGGGCTCAAACCTATGAACTGTGAAATCCTGACCTGAGCCGAAGTCGGATGCTTAACCCACTGAGCCACCCAGGCGCCCCCCCCATTTTGGCCATTTTTAAGTGTACAGTTAGGTGGTTTAAGCACATTCACTCTGCAGCTGTCCCCACCATCCATCTCCAGAACTTTTGTATCTTGCAAAACTGAAACTCCGTTGCCATTAAATGCCCACTCTCTGTCCCCTCCCTCCATCCGTTCTTCTTCTGTCTACGAAGCTGACTGTGGTAGGACCTCTCACAAATGCAAGCACACGGGATTTGTTCTTTTGTATCTGCCTGGCTTATTTCACTTAGCATAACGTCTTCAAGTCCATCCAAGTCACAGCTCACTGCAGAATCTCCTTCCTGCTGAGAGCTGAAGAATATTCCATTGTCTGCATTGACTATATCTTGCCCATCCATTCATCCAACACCAGACACTTGGGGTGCTTTCACCTTTGGGCCGTCTGGAATGATGCTGCTGTGAACACTCATGGACACAGCTCTGTTCGGGTCCCTGCTCTCAGTTCCTTTTGTGCATTTCTCCATCTCTAGGCAAATCCCCAGAAGTGGAACGGCTGGATCGTACTCTCATTCTGTTTTTCACAGCAGCAACGCCATTTTGTACCCCATCAGCGATGCACAGGGTCCCCATTCCCACACACCATCACCAACACTTGCAATTTGTTTTGTGTTCTTTTCTTTGTGGTAATAGCCATCCTTATGGTGTAAGGTAGTATCTTATTTTAGTTAGAATTTATTTTTTTATTAAAAAATTTAAAATATTTATTTATTTTTGAGAATCAGAGACAGAGCACAAGTCGGGGAGGAGCAGAGAGAGAGGGAGACACAGAATCTGAAGCAGCTCCAGGCTTTGAGCCATCAGCGCAGAGCCCAACGTGGGGCTCAAACCCATGAACTGTGAGATCATGACCTGAACCAAAGCCGGACGCTCAACCGACTGAGCCACCCAGGAGCCCCAGGATTTTGTTTTTTGTTTTTTGTTTTGAGGGTAGAGGGTGGCCAAGCTTTTAGCCAAGGCTCGTGCCGGGATTGCACGTCAAGAACTGGAACGTTTATGGGATGCCTGGGTGGCTCAGTCAGTTAAGCGTCCGACTTTAGCTCAGGTCATGATCTCACAGTTCGTGGGTTCGAGCCCCGCGCTGGCCTCTGTGCTGACAGCTCGGAGCCTGGAGCTGCTTCGGATTTTGTCTTCCCCTCTCTCTCTGCTCCTACCCCCTTTGCACTCAATCTCTTTCAAAAATAAACATTAGAAAGAAAGAAATGGGATGTTCAGAAGACAGTGAGGAGGGGCGCCTGGGTGGCTCAGTTCGTTGTGCGTCCAACTTTGGTCAGGTCATGATCTCACGATTCGTGGGTTCGAGCCCCGCGTCGGCCTCTGTGCTGACAGCTCAGAGCCTGGAGCCTGTTTCAGATTCTGTGTCCCCCTCTCTCTGCCCCTCCCCCACTCATGCTCTGTCTCTCTCTGTCTCAAAAATAAATAGACATTAAAAAATTTTTTTTAAAAAAGAAAAAGAAGACAGTGAGGAGGCCAGAGCAGAAAGACATTAGGACAGGCTTCTGGAGGAAGGGTTTGGGCAGGTCTTGGAGGTCAGACATGGGTGGGAGTCCTTGGCGGTGATTCAGGGACGTCCTCTCGGCTCGGCTCCCCTTGAGCGGCCCCAGAAGCTCCCACGACCTCACGTGCCCTATCATCATATCAAGTGTCGTTTCTGAAGGGTCTGCCGTGTGCCAGGCACCGTGTCCTCACCAACCCTCACATCAGCCCTGTGAAGCAGGTATTAAGAACTCCTTGTGACAGAGATTGAAACAATTTGCTCAAGGCCACAAGGCCACTTGAGGCCTCAAAGATTCCCTGGGGAGCCAGACAGCTCCTGTCTCTGGCCTCCAGGAGATTTAAGTCAGCATTTGCCTCATGAAGTGATGCCCAGCCAGGGAAACGATGGGATGGGAACACAGGCCGGGCAGTCAGGGAGGGCTTCCTGGAGGAAGAGGCACCTCGGTGCAGCCTGCAGGACGAGAGCTGGCTTGGCGGCACGGGGGTGAGGCCCACACTCTCATCCTCTCTCCCTAGCCTTCCTCTCTGCCAGCCTCGGGGTACTTGCATCCTCAGAGCCCTACCCCCTGACCAGCTCCGGCTGGGAGCCCCGGCTGGACTCCCCATTCCCGTCAGGCCCTGCCACCGGCGCCCAAGTCGTGGCCGAGCCCAGCAAGCAGGGCCCCAAGAACCCACGTGTGTCCGGCGTGACGGTTCAGCTGGAGATGAAGGCTCTGTGGGAAGAGTTCAACCAGCTGGGCACAGAGATGATTGTCACCAAGGCAGGCAGGTGCGAGCGGCAGCCGTGTGTGTGGTGGGGACCGGGGGCCACCTTTGGGCTGCTGAGCACCGGCCTCTTGCAGGAGGATGTTCCCCACCTTCCAGGTGAAGATCCTGGGCATGGACACGCTGGCCGACTACGCCCTGCTCATGGACTTCGTGCCTCTGGACGACAAAAGATACAGGTCTGGGGGCGGGCCCAGAAGTAGAGCCCTGCCTGCGCCCCGGGGCAAGCCGGGGACCGGGGAGTGTCGGGGAGGCCCACCCTGGGCCGACAGTGTCAGGTGGGCAGCGGGCTAGCCTGGGCCGGGAGGGTGGGCCGGCCCAGCGCAGCCACCGGGGACTCAAGGCCAGACTCTTGGAGTCTCGGGTTCCTCGGGTGTGAGATGCGGACAGCGCACAGGCCGTACCGGAGAGGGTGACAGCCCTTTCGCCCCGCCAGCCTTCAGGGCAGCAGATGAGGTGCCGTGGGGTGCAGATGGGGCGCCCTTTCCACTTGCTCTGCCCCCCAGGTACGCCTTTCACAGCTCGGCCTGGCTGGCGGCAGGCAAAGCAGACCCGGCCACACCCGGTCGTGTGCACTTTCACCCGGACTCGCCGGCCAAGGGTGCACAGTGGATGCGCCAGATTGTGTCCTTTGACAAGCTCAAGCTGACCAACAATCTGCTGGACGACAATGGCCACGTGAGGCCCCGGCCACAGTGGGGGGCGGGGGGGCAGGGCAGGGCTCGGGACGCGGGGGCCTGATTATAGCGAAGCCTGGAGCCAGGGCTGCCTGTGACCTTGGTGCCCACCCGCTACTGATGGCCAGCGCTGGGGGCCAAGTCCACCCGGCCAGGCGCTGGGCGGCAGGGGGCACTGTCCAAGCAGCTGGGTAAGTGGGCTGGAGCTGTGAGAATGTTCCAGCACACACGGTCCCCCTTGTAGATGGCGTTTATGGAATGCCCGCCACGGGCCAGGCCTGTGGTAGATTCAGGCACATGGCATTGTTGCCACTTTGTCAGACAGACAAAGATCCCTGCCTGCATGGGGCTCACCAGCCGGGATAGGGGGCAGATGGTAACCAAAGAAACCAGAGGACCCTGTGTGCAGTGTCTGAGACGGTGATCGATGCCCACAAGATGGGGGAAAAGAAACAAGCGAGGGGGGCTGAGACAGAGGGGCTGGTCTGTTCAAGGGGCTCGGAAGCTGCTGAGGCAGTATTTGAAGAGAGATCTAAAGGAAATGGAGAAGGGAGTCTGCGCAAACAGAAGTGGGAGCTGTCTCAGGGAAGGAACAGCAAGTGCAAAGGTCCTGAGGCTGCAGAATGTTGGACCCGTTGGGAGAAGTGCAAGGAGGTTCCCCACGTGGCTGGAGTGGGGTGTGTAGGGGAGACGGGAGGCGAGAGACCCTGGAGGGTGCCAGAGCTGATCTGCGGGGCCAGTTGGCTGTGGAGAAGGTTCTGGCTTTTACTCTGTGTGGTGTCCACAGGAGGGTTTTGAGCCCGGGGTGACACGCCGCAGCTCGCCGGGGCTGCTGGGTGGAGAACAGACGGCGTCGCTGGATGGAGGCAGGGAGAATGGCCAGGAGGCAGTGGGGTGGGAGTGGTGGTCAGATTCTGGATATTTCGGGTCATGAAGCTGACAGCAGGGTGTGGGGGTGAGAGAAGGCAAGTGGCAAAATGCTCAGACACAAAAGGGCCTTTGATGCAGAACCGTGGGCTCTCAGGACCAGACTCTGCGCCCCCGTTAGCAGAAAGGCAGCCTTTCTGCCCGGGAGACAAGGGCTTAGCCCAGGGGAGGGTTTTCTCCTGCTCTCCACCCCCGAACACTGCCTTCCGCAACCCCCCGCAGATCATTCTCAACTCCATGCACCGCTACCAGCCCCGATTCCACGTGGTCTTCGTGGACCCGCGCAAGGACAGCGAGCGCTACGCTCAGGAGAACTTCAAGTCCTTCGTCTTCACGGAGACCCAGTTCACGGCCGTGACAGCCTATCAGAACCACCGGGTGGGTTGGGCCACAGCTCATGAGGCAGCTGCCAGCCCATTTCACAGGGATGGAGACTGAGGCCCAAAGCTCTGAGCTCCCACATGCGCACAAAGCCTCGCCCTTCTCTCCTTCCCTAGGACTCGGCAGACCGCTGCCCTCGGACATTCTCCTGCCTTCACCCCCACTCGCTCTAAGCTCCTGGGCTGAGGGCCCAGGTCCCAAGGCTTCCTGATTGGGGGGTTCAGGGAAGACAGGGGGCCTGAACCTGGGACCCCACAGCCTTACCCTGGCTCGGGGTTGGCCTATAACTGCACTTTCTCCTCTGCAGATCACCCAGCTGAAAATCGCCAGCAACCCTTTTGCCAAGGGCTTTAGGGAGAGTGACTCGGACTCCTGGTACCGTGTGGGCCCCGGCAGCTCCGCCCGCTGCCCCAGCCCAGCCCCTGCCCCCATCCGCACCATCTCCTAAGGCCTGGGTGCCTGCCCTTCTCGCAGCTTCATGCCCCCCGACTGGTCCTGGGGTCCCACCGTCTGGCTGATCACCATCCTGGGCTGGGGCTCCCCCCTTTGACCCTCTGCCTCCACTCCTGTTTGTCGCGTCTTCAGGGCTGTCTCTCCCCGACCCCTGCTCAGCGGCGCGGCCCGGAGCCACAGCCGCCTCGGCCCCTGCCTGCTGAAGGGCTCCGCAGAGGAGGAAAAAGGTGAGCCCCCCGCGTACAGACACAGTGGGGCCAGAGCCTGCGTGGTGGGCAGGAAGCGAGGAGACAGGGGCCTCCAGGAGGGGGCCTCGGCGTGTTCAGCAAGCCCACTGGGCGCCTGTGTGGACAAAGAGGAGGCAGAGAATTCCGAGACTCTTTGGGGCCAAGGGCACCAAGAACAGGACAGGGACAAGGTGCTAAGAGCAGGGGCAGGAGGTGTCACGTGGGCTTCCTGGATGACATGGCTCCTGAGCTGGGCCTTGAAGAACTGGGAAGGGCTTGGATAGCAAGAGACGGTGGGGAAGAGAGAACAGAGAGGGAAGGGCAAGAGCAAAGGCCGAGAGGGGGGAAACGTGGGATGGGAGCGGGGAAGGAACAGGGGAGGCTGAGGACGTGGGGCAAGGTCTGGGGTCCACTCGGACCATGTCCTCCCTCAGATCCCAGCAAAGCTCCAGTCTCCAGCTCCAGGACCTCTGCCCGGCTGCACCATCAGCTGCTGGGCCCCCCTGAGGCTCTGCTGGCCCCAACCACCTACCAGCCCCTCACCTACCAGGGCCTGTACCCTGGAGCCTCAAGCCCCCTCAGAATCCCAAGGGCCCGACCAACACCATACCCCCTCCCCAATATCCAGGCAGACAGAGATCAGGAGAGCCTGCCGCTCCCAGCTAGGCTGGGGCTCCTGCCCCCCACTGCCATGTGCTTGGGGCTTGTCCAGGATCCTCAGTGATGATGAGGGCCCTGTGCCCAGAATCCTCTTACCCTAAATACCACCCCTCCTGCCTCACCTCTGCAGAGTCCCTCTTCCTTCAAGGATAGCAGGGCAGGTGGAAACCCAGAGAGGGAGGCTATCTACCCAGAGTCACAGCAAGGTTGAGAAGGTGCCAGGCTTGGAGCCCGGTGCTCCACCTCCCAACACGCCCCCTTCTGCCTTGGGGGTGACTCCTCTCAACCCTGCTTTACCTCTCCCTTTCCCCTAACATTAAACCATTTGGCATGAGTAGTCAGAGCACTTCTGTCCTCAGGGGGTGGGGTGGGAGGACTCAGGAACACCCAGACCCCAGAGACTGGGCTGCCGACATCCCAAAGCTCTGCCCGGTGCCTGTGGCATCGCTGGGAGCACAGCGGAGGGAAACACCAGCCTGGGCGTGAGGCCGCAGGCTCTGCTCCAGGCCTTAAGTGCCCAGATGAGGACTGAAACCGCAGCTCAAAGAGGTAGCTGCTCAAAGTCAATGCGAAGCATGGCGACACTGCCATTCCACGACGGGTGCTGTGCACAAGGCTGGGGTGGTCTGGCCCGCGAGAAGCCAGGGTCTGGAGGGATGCAGCACCATGGTGGGCAGTGAACACAGGCGCCAGGCCAAGCGGGGGACGGGGGAGGGACTTGAGAAGCCAATCAAGACTCGAGGCAGGACAGCTTCCATATAAACTGACATTTAAACCTACACCTAAAGGAGTAGAAATTTCGAGGGAGAGGGAAGGGGAGGAGGGAAGCCAAGCTCCCAGCGGTGGGAAAAGCAGGGCAAAGGCCTGGGTATGGAGTGGGTCCCTTGCAGCGGGAGGGCGCGGCGCGCGCCACCCCGAAGAACCAGGAAAGGGGCCCGGAGTGGGGCCGGACTGGGCACTCCGCCCGCAGCCCCTGACCCCCGAGGAACCCCCCAAACGGCCACTCTGAACATCGTGGAGCACTTCGCGTGAGGTCCTTAGGACAGGGACGGGCACACGCGGGCGTGGACGGACACGGGCCCCGGCGAAGCTTCGAAGCCCGACGCCCGGACTCCCGAACCCACTTGTCACAGAGCGGGGTCCGGAAGCTGCGGAGACTTGAGCGAAGCGAGCTACTTTAGGCGCTCTGACACCCTCCCTCCAGACCACCAATGCCAGCTCCGCCCTCCAACCAGGCCCGCCCCTTCTGCCGGAAGCTCAAGACCCCAGGGACCCGCCCCTTCCGGACCCGCCCCTTCCCTCTTCCTGGAGCCCCGCCTCTTCCCGACGAGACCCCGCCTCTTGCGCGGGCCCCGCCCCCAAGGGCACTGCGTAGGCAGCTTCCGAGCCCCCTAAGGGGCGGGGCGGGGTGGGGCGACTCCTCCCACGGCCCCGCCCAGCTCCCCCGGAGACCCCGAGCGCGAGTGTAGCCCCGCCCCTTCCCTCGCCTGGCCCGGCGCCCTCAGTGTCCCGGGTGCTCCTGGCCCGACATGCCGCCTGACTGCCTGTCATCGGAGGGCGAGCGGCGCTGCCGGCGGCTGCTGGCAGGGGCCACTGCGCGGCTCCGCGCGCGGCCCGCGGCGGCCGCGGTGCTGGTGCCGCTGTGCTCGGTGCGCGGGGCCCCAGCGCTGCTCTACACGCTGCGGTCCAGCCGCCTGGCCGGAAGGCACAAGGGTGACGTCAGGTACACCGCCGGGAGCTCCTCGCTCTTCTGGGAGGAGGCCGCCGAATCCCGGAGATCGCAGGGACCCGAGCAAGGCGCTTCGCCTGTCCGAGCCTGAGTTTCCGCCTCTGTGAAATGGGTTCGGGGCGAGGCGCGCCCCGAGTCTGGTGCCCTGGGATCCCCAGCTCGGACCCCACGCCGGACCCCTCGAAGCGCGTCCCGCACCGCCTCAGGCCGGGGACACGTCTTGGAGCTGTGTCCGCGTTTCTGAAAAGGCAGGACCCTGCCCCCTGCCGGCGACTCTGGGGAGATTCCGGTCCTGGAGCTGAGGACGCTTGCGGGTCGGGGGCGCTGCCTGGCTTCCCGCCCTGATCCCGCCCCCGTCCCCGTCCGGAATTAGGGACACGCTAGGGTCATAGCGCCACTAGGGCCACCGGAAGCAAAATTTGCGTGTGTGAGGCCCAGCGCCTCCCCCTTCCCCCTATCGTTGAGGGAGGTAAACTGAACCTGGAGAGGTCCTGTGGCTTGCCGGAGGCCTCACTGCAAACTAGGGGCAGAGACGAAAGATGCTTAGGTGGGTCATCAGCTCTCTGCCACACCTGTCACCCTCACCCGCCACGGCCCCAACAGACCAAGGACCAGGCTGCCTGTGCTTGTTCAGTTTCCCAGGTGGCAAGTGTGACCGCACTGACCAGGACGTGGTACACACAGCCCTGAGGGAGACCCAAGAGGAGCTGGGCCTTACTGTGCCTGAGGAGCACGTGTGGGGCATCCTGCAGCCTGTATACGACCAGGTAAGGCTGCCAGGCCCTGAGGCCACCACCAGGGACAAGGACAGTGGTCCTGGCCTCTGGTGGAGCTCCAGACACCTGCCCGGCAGCCATGCTCCGTCCCCACACAGACTTTCAGGGAAATGTATCTTGGACCCTTTGGATGGGGGCTACTGAGGCTCAGGTCCTGGGCTGGAGGTGGCCCAGCTTGGTGGAGGAGGGTGGGGGAAGGTGTCCCAGGGGAGGCAGGGATTGAATGACAAGCAGGAGATTCCAGGGTAGTAAAAGTCAAAGAAGGTTATTCTAAGTAGAGGGAACCGTCTGTAAAAAGCCCAGAGGACTGCATGGCTCTAGTGAGTTTGAGCGGCCTGTGGTTAGCGTGGCAGGAGCGAGCTCAAGGGCAGGGGCCAGGATGCCAAGCTGGGAGTCTTCCTCTTGGGGCCCCCTCCCCAGCCCCAAAGCCCCGCCAAGGCCACGCCTCCCCTGACTGCCTGCTCTCTTCCTGCCCCAGCAAAAGACCACCGTGGTGCCCGTGCTGGCCAGTGTGGGCCCACTGGATCCCCAGAGTCTCAGGCCCAACCCCGAGGAGGTGAGTGTGTGTGGGGGCGGGGGGGGGGGGCTGGGGGCAGCCTGTTCCAACCAGGCTGCAGCAGCAAGTCCCCGTCCACCCTCCCCCTGCCTCCTGCCCACAGGTGGACGAGGTGTTTGCACTACCCCTGGCCCACCTGCTGCAGGCACAGAACCAAGGCTATACCCACTTCTGCCAGCATGGCCGCTTCTGCTACACACTGCCCGTCTTCCTGCACGGGCCACACCGTGTCTGGGGTCTCACGGCCATCATCACAGAGTTCACCCTGCAGCTGCTGGCACCCGGTGCCTACCAGCCCCGCCTGGCCCTCCCTGGGAGGCCCACGGGCTGAAGGCCTGGCCGTAAGCAGCATCCTTCCTTCAGCTTGCTAGGCCCGCTCCCTTCCCAGACTGAATAAAGAGCCTTTACCAATTGTGTGCCAACTGCCTCTTGTGCACTGGGGCCCTGACCTTGGGCAGACCCTTTGGGAGAGCTGGCCTCCTGGCTGGGGTGCCTCTGTCCAATCACAGCGTTCCCCACTGACCAGCGGGCACTTACAGTGAGTGCTTTCTGCGTCTGGGCACTTGGCCCTTACCACAGCCCCAGGGTGGGCCAGTGCTGGCCCTGGCTGGTGAGACTGGGGCTCAGAGAGAAGAGACACCTTGCCCAAGGTCACCCCAAGCTATGGTTGGAGCCAAGCTGTCCCTGACTTCAGAGCCCAGACGCAGCCACTCCCCTGCAGCTCGTGTTCTCTCCTGTGTCTAGCTGTCCCCATGCCAGGCTGCAGAAATCCAAAGAGGAGCCCTGTGTTACTATAAAGTTCCAATATGTCCAGCTTCTGCCACACATCAGGTACTGTGCTGGGGCAGTATCTTCGGACCAGCCAGATGCCACCCTGCCCTCTGGGGGGTGACTCAGTCCAGGGAAGACCTCAGAGCAGGCCACACAGATAATCATGTGATTGTACATTAATTACTCACAGCTAATAGTGGAATTATGCATCGATTATGTAGACCAGAGAGGGCCAGAGAGGGGGGTAAAGCCATCTGACCTCGTCATGGTGGACTGGGCAATATTAGCCAGGACACGTGATAGGAAACTCCCCACACTAGCTGACTTTGCCAAAAGAGGAATGGGAATAAACTCGAAATGGACCAGCTTCAGGCATGGCTGGATCCAGGGGCTCAAGGGCTCTCTCTCTCTCTCTCTCTCTCTCTCTCTCTCTCACTGTGCTTTCTATTGTGTTGGCCTCACTTTTAGAGAATCTCTACTCTGCAGGGATGAGGAGAGGGCAATAGCTCTCGAGTGGCATGGGAAATGGCATCCCATCAACAGAAAACAGAGCTTCTGTCTCTGGCTGTCCGACCCAGAATTATACTTCGTTGGGCCTCCCTGAGCCTGCGGCGTGGCCTGCTGTATTTGGAATTCACTGGTCGGCAGGAGCTGGGGACACAGGCCTGGGGACAAGGGTGAGCCTCCCAGACTGAGACTATCGAAAAGGCGGTCCCCGAGGGACTGCTGGGAAGAGAGAGATGGGAAGGTTGAACAGGTAAAGACCAGCGAGTTTCCCCTACAGAGTGACCTTGAAACCAAAGGTGAGCAAGAGCAGGCCGCATCAGAGGGCAAGGGGGGGACGTCGGGGCAGAAGGAGCGGCAGGTGCACAAAGTTTGGGGTGTTGGAGGAAACAATGAGCAATGCGGAGAGCGGGGGAGGGGCCCGGACTCTCAGGGGCCGCCATGGGGTGCCAAGGGGACATGTCTCAGTGTGGGTTAGGATTTTGTTCCAGGCCAGGAAAGAGGGGAGAGGTGTGAAGCGACATGATTCATGTTTTCAAAAGCTTGAGCCGCAAGAGGACCAGACTGGGGGTGCCCTCCTCCTCCTCGGGGTCCCCTGCCTGGGCCCCCTCCCCACTCCGCACCTCCCAAAGTGTCTCCCACACCGCTACCCACCCCTACCCACACCTCCCGCCTCACCTCTCCCTTCCTTCACACGCCCCCCCCCATTGCCCCTCACACTTCACACGCCTTGCGTCGCCTCTGGCCCTCCAGTCTCCTCAGATGGGAGCAGGGCGCGTGATGGTGGTAAAAATAACTGATGGTGTGAACGGGGGACGAGGGAGGAGGGAGGCCGGGCCCCAAGGGACCCTTGGAGTTGAGGGCAGAGAGGTGCCAGTCTCCTGAGCCCCAGAGATGGGTTCTGACCCCGCCCCTTCCCCCTCCCTCACCGGTTCTGGGAGGCCCTTTGCTCACAGTCTTGCTCTCTAGGGTCATCTCCATCCGGCTTATACCCGGCGAACCACACCGGGTGGAGGAGCTCACGGAGCGGTGAGTAGCCCAGCCGGCCTGACTGCAAGCACACGGGGGTCCTCCTTCAGCCCGGAGCGCCCCCCTTCTCCCCCATTCCACCTACTCTGACCCTGCATTCTGTCCTCAGGTCCTGGCCGCCACCCGAGATCCCCCTCTGCGCCCTCAGGGATGCCTCTTCACCCTGGCTCCTTGGCCCGCTGCCTCCCCCCTGTCCCCAGTCCGTGGGGGCTTCTCTGAGTCCCCGCCCCTGTGTCCAAGCCCCCATGGCGGCAGGCAGTGCGGCAGGGAGCCGGGGCCGGCCGCAGCGGGTGAGCATGCAGGAGCACATGGCCATCAACGTGAGCCCCGGCCCCATCCGGCCCATCCACCTCATTTCCGACTATTTCCCACACTTCTACCCCTTCGCTAAGCACACCCTGCGCACCCCAGACCCACACCCTGCAGTGACCCCTGCACCCCAGCAGCAGGCGGAGCCAGAGCCAGAGGGAGATTCAGATGACAGCAGTGAGTGGGGACAGGGGACAAGGGGAGCACTCCTGGCCCGGCCCAGCCAGGGCGGGGTTTGGGGCATCCCAGGCATCCGACCAGGGATGGGTAGGGCGACGGGCTGGGCAGGGGGTGAGGCGGGAGCTGACCCTGCCTACCGCCTCCTGTTAGCTGCCCTGGGCACCCTCGAGTTCACACTGCTCTTCGATGCGGACAACAGCGCCCTGCACTGCACGGCTCACCGAGCCAAGGTGAGGATGCGGGCAAGGGTCTGTGGGCGCAGGGCCTGGGCCACAGACCTGCCCCGCATTCACTGCCTCTTCTCAGGGTCTCAAGCCACCAGCCTCAGGCTCTGTGGACACCTACGTCAAAGCCAATCTGCTGCCAGGAGCCAGCAAGGTGAGGGCAAGACCCAGGCCCCTACTGATGCTTCCTGGCCGCACCCCAGCCTGGAACACCCCCCGGGTCCTGCCGTAGCCCCCCCCTCCCCCAAAGCCTGGCCATCAGGCATGGAGCTCCCCGTTGTTGGGATGTGCGACTGGGGACCCGCCAGGGAGGTGAGCCAGGGTGGGGCCCTGGGGCCCAAGGACGTCCTCATCCACCCTCCCTGGCCCCCAGGCCAGCCAGCTGCGGACCCGCACGGTTCGGGGCACAAGGGGGCCCGTCTGGGAGGAGACCCTCACCTATCACGGCTTCACCCGCCAGGATGCTGGGCGAAAGACGCTGCGGTGAGGACCCGGCTGGGCCTGGATTGCAAGGGGGCAGGGCTGAGGTGGGAGGGGCAGGGGGCTTGCTTGGCCCGGTTTGACCTGGGCGGCCAGCAGGCTGTGTGTGTGTGAGGACCCACGGCTGCGGCGACGGCGGCGGGCGCCCCCCCTGGGGGAGCTGCGGGTGCCCCTGAGGAAGCTGGTGCCCAACCGAGCCAGGAGCTTCGATGTGTGTCTGGAGAAGCGGAAGCTGGTGAGTGGGGCTGACACAGCCTGGCGTGGGGATCAGGATCCTGGGGGCGGGGAAGCTGGAGAGGGGCGGAGCGAGGAGGGAGACCCCGGGCAGTGTCTGGCGAAGGTGACCAAGCTCTCTGCTCCTTCAGACCAAGAGGCCCAAGAGCCTGGACACCGCCCGTGGCATGTCCCTGTATGAGGAGGTGAGTAGGACAGTGGGACCAAGCAGGGACTGGGGGGCAGGCCTGGGGGCCCAGGCTGAAGTGCATCGGGCAGGGCCTGAGGTGGGCTGAGGGTGGGCTTGGGGACACTGAGGCCGTCCCTCTCATAGGCCCTAGCACTCGTAGCCCCGGGGAAGAGCCGGGTCCCAGTGGCTGGGTGGGGGGTGTGTAGGGGGGTGGGGGGTGGGAGGAGGGCAACTCCCCCACCAGGGCAGCCCAGAGCAACTATTGGGCACGGGGACAGTCAAGGCCCTTAGGGGGCAGAGATGAAGCCCGGCTTGAAGCAGAGGCTGAAAGTGGTGGGACCCATCCGGAGCCCAAGTTGGGAGGGCAGGTCAAGGTGCAGGAGAGAATGGACAGCAGGATAGGGCATTGTGGGTGCCACTCCTGGACCCTGAGCCCTAGATAGGCCCTTGCCAGCAGGCAGAGGTGACTGCGGGGGCCCCGTGCCAATGACCGCAGCCCTGGTGCCAGGCCCTCCCTGGCTCGCCTCGGACGCAAGAGCCAGGTGCTGCTGCCCTGCCCCCTAGTGGAGCCGCAAGTTGCTGCACCTGCCAATTAGCCAAGGCCAGCCTGGCAAGTCCTACCCAGGTGGGGCAGGCACCCTGAGACGGGCACTTCCTGTCGCAGACCCCACGCAGGGCGGCACCACTGCACACGGCACAGCCCTGCACACAACCCTCCGTTCAGTACGGGAGCACATTCTTCCTGGCATCCTCCCAAGCCCTTTGCAAGCACCAGGGGCTGAGGGTGGCTAAGGACACTCAGAATCTGGTCCCCTGGGTGGTGGGAGAAGAGGGCAGGTTTTGTAGCTTTAGTGACCTGTGTGTCACCAGGTAGAGAACAGCCTCTCAGAGCTGTTTCTGTGACACAGGGAGGGTGGCGATGGGCACTCAGTGAGAGGCCATTCGGGAAGCTCCTCACGTGTTTGTGGCCTTGGTCACCAGCACCCTTCCCCTCCATGATGAGGAGGCACTGAGCTGACCAGTCACATGGCCTGAGCAAGCCCCTCCCCTTCTCAGACCCTGGTGGGTAGAGCTGACCGGAAAGTTCCCTTCCAGGGCACCGGTCCAGTGACTGTTTTTGGAAAGTCGTGACATTACACTGTTGGTCCCGATTTCTGTGCAGCGAGCTGGGGCGGTCACATCCGGGCTAACACTGGCTGGGGGGCGGGCAGGCTGTGGGACGCGGCTGGCTGACCACGGCCTACCCCCGCAGGAGGAGTCGGAGGCGGCAGGGGACGAACGCGGGCGCATCCTGCTGTCACTGTGCTACAGCTCTGGGCAGGGCGGCCTGCTGGTGGGGGTGCTGCGCTGCGCCCACCTCGCCCCCATGGACGCCAATGGCTATTCGGACCCCTTCGTCCGCCTGTGAGTGTAGAAGGGTGGACGGGTAGGTGGGCAGTGGGGGCGCACGCCAGAGCCCCTCTCCAGGCCCGTCCCCAACCTGACCCCATCCTCCCCAACCAGCTTCCTGCATCCAAATGTGGGGAAGAGGTCTAAATACAAGACCAGTGTTCGGAAGAAGACCCTGAACCCTGAGTTCAATGAGGTAGAGGCCAGGGGCCCGCGGAGGCCGCCCTAGCTGCCCTGGGGCTGGGGAGGTCGGCATCCGCCTCAGTCAGCAGGCGCAGGTCCCGCCTAACCTGGGCCACTCGCCTGCCTGGGCCTGTTCCTGAGCCTGTAAAGGACCCGAGCCCCCCTCCCCTGCAGGAATTCTTCTATGCAGGCCCAAGGGAGGAGCTGGCCCAGAAGACGCTGTTGGTGTCTGTATGGGACTATGACCTGGGCACAGCTGACGACTTCATTGGTGAGAATGCAGGGGAGCGGGGTGGCGGGCGGCAGTGGGTTCCCACGTGGCTCCTGACCTCTGTTCCCCAACCCAGGCGGGGTGCAGCTGAGTAGCCACGCCAGCGGGGAACGCCAGCGGCACTGGTGCGAGTGCCTGGGCCTCAGTGACTGCCGACTGGAGCTGTGGCACCCGCTGGACGGTGCGCCCCTCCAGCTCAGCGACTAGAAGGGGTGTCCCGCCTGGCCCTGCTCACACCCAAGCGGACCCACACAGCTGGGAGGCCCTGCAGCCGCCTCACCCACCGTGCCCAGCCCGCGTCAAATCGTCTGCTCCCTTACCCCTCCTTTCAAATTCACCCCGCTGCCAATCATGGAGAATAAACTTCCCAACCAGACCAGACAGAGCCTCTTCTTTCTTCTCGTTGCTCGTGGCCTCACAGGGCACACGGGGCCCTGTTCTCCTTGCTCCCATCCTGCAGACACCCCCAGGGGGCCAGGCCTGGACCCCAGGCCACTGCTTTCCCCTCCTCACACTGGGAAAGCGCCGTCCCCACCCCTGCTATCTGCACTGAGGGACGGGTGCTCATGATGGTCTAGGACAGACTGACCCACGGGAAGCCAAGTTGTGGATTCATGACGTGACCTTGAGCTGACCTGTCCTCCCCCCGAGACCCGCACGGGGTGTGGGAGGCCTCTGTCTCTGGGAAACAGACCTCCCTGAGTGGCGGGCGGCAGCGGCAGAATGAAGAGAGAAGCAAGCAGGAGAGTGGGCATCAGTTGTTTATTGTCCAGCCACCTGGACAGACGGACATCAGCCCAGGCCAGTGGGATCAGGAGGCAGCCTGCCTGGCCTGGTGCTGCTGGGCAAACCTCTGCATCCGCTCTTCAAGCTCTGGCCGGAAGTGGCGGATCAGGCCCTGCGGGTGAGTAGCAGACACCGTGTGAAGCAGAGGGGAAAACCCCAACACCCTAGGCTCTCAGCGCCCCCACCCTAGTGCCCGCAGCAGGGCGGGGAGTACCTGCACAGGCCAGGCGGCCCCGTCACCCAGGGCACAGATGGTATGGCCCTCGATCTGCTTGCTGATCTCCCAGAGGGAGTCGATCTCGGCCGGCCGGGCGTCCCCCTTCACAAAGCGGGCCATCACCTTGTTCATCCAATCCACACCTGCAGCCGTGGCAGCAAGAGAGGGCCTGATGACCCCGGCCGGGGTGCGGGGAACCGCACTCGAGGGGTGCAGGCCACGGAGAGGGTGGGGCCGAGAGAAGCTAGAGCAGGCTGGGAAGCAGCAGCTGTACTGACCCAGGCCCAGGGTGAGCCACAGAGAAAGCCTCCCGCCCGCCCAGGGTGCTTACCCTCACGGCACGGGGTACACTGGCCACAGCTCTCATGCTTATAGAACTCAATAAGGCGGGCGATAGCTTTCACAACATCCGTCTGGGGGGGACAAGAGACAGTGAGGGCCAGAGCCTCAGCACCCCCAGCAGCATCCCCCCCCCAATGGATTCCAGCAGCATTCTGGCCACCTCCTCCACCGTCCCTGGGCATCCGGCACTGGCCAGACCCTAACAGGCATTCTCTCTAGGGGAATCCTCTCCTCTCCCACTTGGCTGTGGCTCAGGTCACATGAGCTGGGGTCCAAGAGCTGGAAAGAGTCCTCAGGAAGCCCAGGGAGGGGCGCTGCCCGGGTGGACACAAGGCAGGGACTGGGTGGGGAGCGTGGGCGGCCCTTACCGAGCGGTCCATGACGATGACGGCGGCCGTGCCCAGGCCCGTCTGAGCCTGCACCAGCGCGTCAAAGTCCATCAGCACCGTCTCACACACAGACTTGGGGATCAGAGGTGTGGATGAGCCACCGGGGATCACAGCAAGGAGGTTGTCCCAGCCACCTGTGACACCCCCTGGGACCCCAGTCCACCCCCAAAAGGATGGATGGTCAGGGCTGGGACCGCCGCCCCTGACTCGCCCTGAGCCCAGGACCTGTGTCGGCCCGTGCCCAGCCAGCGCCCTGGCTCTCTTCATGCCGCCCCGCCTGCCCCCAGCCCTGGCTGTTCCCAAACCTCACCGGCATGCTTTTCGATCAGCTCCTTCAGTGGCACGGACATCTCCTCCTCCACAGTGCAAGGGTGGTTGACGTGGCCAGAGATATTGAACAGTTTGGTGCCTGAGTTGCGCTCACGACCAAAGCTGGCAAACCATGCACCACCACGGCGGCAGATGGTGGGGGACACAGCCACCGTCTCCACGTTGGCCACGGTCGTGGGGCAGCCGAACACTCCTGTAGAGGAACGGGGTGAGAGGCCGGTGGCTGCCGGAGGGTGGGGGCAGGGTGGATCAGGGTTCCCGCAGTGGGGTCTGTCCCAGGGTCCTGCTCTGTGGCACAGCCCCCCCTTACCCTTTGGTCATTCCCCCCCCCACTGAACCCCAAAGTCTAGCAGGTGCTGCACTGCCTTTTTGCTCCTCTACTCTTAGTCCCTGGGGGGCCAGGGAGGACCTGGGAGCTGGGACAGGTTAGGGACTACAGATGGGCCCTATGTTGTCACCGCCCTACTCTGCATCTGGCCCCCTGTCCAGGACGAACTCAGAAATCCCCCAAGAATGACCAGTGAGGACCTGAAGCCAGATGAGATTCCACAGGACGAAGCACCAGGCCCAGGACCAGGCGGGGTCTTACCCACATCAGCAGGGAAGGGCGGCTTCAGGCGGGGCTTGCCCTGCTTGCCCTCGATGGACTCGATGAGCGCCGTCTCCTCCCCGCAGATGTAGGCCCCGGCACCGCGCACAACGAACACGTCAAAATCATAGCCGGAGCCACAGGCGTTCTTCCCGATCAGACCAGCCTCATAGGCCTCTCGGATGGCCACCTGCAGGAGGGGACAGTGAGGGTGCGTCCCCCGGCCTGGGAGCACTGTGGGGGGAGGGGTACGGCCCGGGGAGCCCATGTTCACCAAGGCCCAGGGGAAAAGCTCCCTTTGGACGTAAGTAGAGGATGCTCCAGGAGAGGGGTGGGCATTTTCACCACGTGTGCGCTACTTCTGTAATCACGACATTTAACAAATTCTTCAACTATATCTTTTTTTAAAAGAATGCCTGAGGAAACAATGAACATTTTAATAAGCACTTTCTTACAGGCAGCAGATCTGTGGGAGATTTTTCTGGGTGTTGTGTGTGCGTGCAGCTTCTTGTCTTTACGATGAGCAGGTACTACTTCTACAGGAAAGGAAAAGACCCTACAGGTTTGTTTTTAAATACGGTGCAGTAACACTTATACACAATGCTACTGTGTGCCCGGTGCCGTCCCTGGTGCTGTCCCCGTGTCCCTTGTCGCTGCTCTAGAGGAGCCTAATAGAAAGGTGTGAGACTCTGGCCCTGGACCAGTCACCACAGGTGTCACTGAGCTGTGAACTGCTGAAATGAGCCCCCGCCCCTTCTGCAGGAACATGCCTGCCAGCCCACCCCTGTCCCAGGAGTCCTGGAGCCCGGAAAGCCCCCCGAGCTGAGGCTCTGGAACATATCGAGAGAGTGCAGAGGAGGCTCTGGGGCCCACGTCCCATTAACAGTGCAAGCAGCAGGGGTAACTCCTCTTCCAGGGGAGCCCCAAACAGGTCAGGTGCTAACACCTAAGCACCGTGCCAGTACACAGGCATGTGAGTGCGCGCCGGTCACCCTCCCCTCTGCTGAGGCTCCTCCCCTCTCCCACCTGCAGGTTGGAGGCCTCGTTGTAGAATTCCCCTCGGATGTAGATGTAGGCAGCACGCGCACCCATGGCCCGGCCCCCAACGAGGCAGCCTTCCACCAGCTTGTGGGGATCATGGCGCATGATCTCCCGGTCCTTGCAGGTGCCCGGCTCCCCTTCATCCGCGTTCACGACGAGATACTTGGGCCTGTAGATTCCAGCAGATCCGTGAGGCCCCAGGACCGCCAGGGCTGGGCCTTCCACTACATGCCACCCCACTCCACCCAAGGAAGCCTCAGAGATGTCTCCTCCGGGAGCCAATCCCTCCCTGTTCTCCCAACGTATTCCTAGCGGCTCTGCTTGCTCACCAATGACATCGAGCTCACTGCCTATTATGTCTTTGGGTGACTGTGACCACAGGAAAGACCTTTGTTCAGCTCAGTCCAAACGTCTCCTTGTGCTTTCCTAAGAGCCCAAATTCTGCTCTTGGTCACAAAGAGCCTTCCTGAACCTCTACCATATCTCTGGGGTCAAAAGGAGATGAAGTAGCTGATATTTAAAATTTGCTTTCTTTTTTTTTAAATTTTAATGTGTGCTTACATTTAAGAGAGAGACACACACACAAAGTGTGAGCAAGGGAGGGGCAGAGAGATGGAGACAGAATCTGAAGCAGGTTCCAGGCTCTGAGCTGTCGGCACAGAGCCCGATGCAGGGCTCAAACCCACGAACTGTGAAATCATGACCAGAGCCGAAGTCGGACGCTCCACCCACTGAGCCACCCAGGCGCCCCTTATCATTTGCTTTCTATGGGCTGACCAATGTGAGGGGCAACTGCTATATGAACACTCTCTTTAATTCCCTGCACATTATAATATCCACTTACAAAAGAGAAATCTGAGGTTCAAAAAACGCAGGAGACTGCCCAAGGCTATACAATTAGAAGGAAGAATTGACCAATGAGTCTGCCGACGTCAAAATCCTATGTTGCTTCTGCTACCCCTCGAGCTTGCCCTGAGGAAGCCCGGAGAGAACAGAGTTGCACCTCCTTCAACTCTGGCGACGTTTCATTCACTCTTAGTTTCCCAGGAAAGAGCCCCGAGGCCCGGGGAAGCCACAGCCACCCCCAAGGTCTCTCCTGCAACCCCATCGCCACCTCCCCACACACACCTGCCATCTGAGGGCTTATTCATGAAGCTCCACTTGAGGCCAGTGGGGAAGCCAGCGCCGCCACGGCCCCGCAAGCCGGACGTCTTGACCTCACCCAGGATCCAGTCAGGCCCCTTCAGCAAGATCTCCTTTGTCTTGTACCAGTCACCTCGGCTCTGAGCACCTTTCAGCCTGGGCAGAGTGGGGAAGGCATTGAAGGCGAGGCCCTGCTCCAGGACCACCGCGTGAAGGGCACCATCTCACCTCCAGTCGTGGCGGCCGTACAGGTTGGTGAAGATCCGGTCTTCATCTTTCAGCGAGCCAAACGAGGTTTTCCTGGGTGCTGTCTGAGAACACAAACAGTCATGAAGGGCCAGGCCAGAAGTTACAGATTCTTGGGTCCCCACGATTAGACGGGGCGGGGTGAGGAGAGGGCGAGCGCCTACGCCTCAGAACCCTGCGTGGCATCACAGCTGCCGCCCCCACTTTAGTGAGCACTTCCTGCTCAGCCCGCATCAGGCTAGGCGCTTTCCATCCCAAACCCCATTTCATCCTCATAACCCTGAGACAAGAATGAT